GGGCTGAGGAACCCTACAAGGACCGTGGACTGACAGAACAAACAGCTGTCTTGGAAGAAGTCCAGCCAGGATGCTCCTTCGAGACAAGGATGGCCAGACATTGCCCTCTTGTACTTTGGACACGTATGGCGCCTGAAAAAGGACATCGTGCTTGATAAAGTAGGTCGGCGGAAAAGAGGAAGCCCCCCAAGGAGATGGATTGATACCGTGCTGACCTGGGACCAGGATTGTGAGGCTGGCCCGGGAAGGGGCCGTGTTCCACTCTGTTGTGTACAGGGTCACTATGGGTCGGATTGGACGGGACCGGGCCTACCAACAACGTTATCCATCCAATCTTGGTCTTGGGGATTGGCGTGAGAATGGTGTTCTCAAAAGTACATGCTGCAGCGTTTGCCGAACAAAACCAACGCACTGCCATTGGCTCCGCTCCAACCCATGGGAATGGCAGGCTCCGCAGCTGATGGGTTTGACTGGCCTGACCTTGTGGCTGGTCACCTAGCCTCCTAATCCCCCAGCCCTCCTGGGGCTCTGGCCGCAACACTGCAGGCAGTTGATGTAACCAATGATGAGACGTCTAAACCACAGATGGCCCTGGGTGGTTGTAAGTGCAGCTTCGATACAATTGTGAGTCCTTACAGGTCCAGGCTCTCTCTATAAAAAAGTGTCTGGTGTTATCTATCAATCACAAAAGGGCAAATGTGTGAGATAAGACCACAGTTGCCAAGCCGGGCAAAGGCTTTCATAACCAAAGAAAGACTTTGATGGTGACTTGGTGTTGGGGGGAGCAACAGGCTAGAGCAGAGATTTTTAAACCAGTTTGGTCTACTGTCTCCGCGTCCAGAAGAAACGAAACAAAACGAAAAACCCACCAGGTATCCGGGCGATGAAAAAAAACGTTTGTCCTGTAGCCCCTATCCCAGTATCAAGTGTGTTGTTGATGTTAGGGACCCGACACAGGGCGACCTTCTGGAAGACAGGAGCAAACACGTCTGTGTGCCAGGCCATCCTTGTGACTGTTCTTGTGGATGGCCCATTGTTGACGCCACGGTGTTGGTCCATCCTGCCCAGGGCTGCCTTCTTTTTCCCTGCCCATCCACTTGACCAAGCGTGACGTCCCTCTCCAGGGACTGGTCTCTCCTGATCACACGTCCAAAGGAGCGGAGACAGAGTATCACCATTTGTGCCTCTAAGGAGCTCTCTGGCCGCACTACTTCTTTCAAGACAGCTTGGTTTGTTCCTTTGGCAGCCACGATCCATCGTTCAATGTTCTTCGCCAGCACCCTGATTCTAAGGCAGCCATTCTTCTTTGGCTTTCCCACTAGTCTCCCACTGGACACGCATGGGTGATTGAAAAAGACTATGGCTGGGGTCAAGGGCACCTTAGTCCTCAATGTAACAACATCCTTGTTTTTAAACGTTCTAAAGCGGCGGTTCTCAACCTTTGGGTTGTGACCCCTTGGGGGGGGTGTTGAATGACCCTTTCACCAGGGTCGCCTGATTCATCACAGTAGCAAATTGACAGTGATGAAGTAGCAACGAAAATAATTTTCTGGTTGGGGGGGTCCCCACAACATAAGGAACTGTATGAAAGGGTCGCGGCATGAGGAAGATTGAGAACCACTGCTCTAAAGAGTGTTGGTTTTGTAGCAAATTTACGCCGTATAATGCCTCCTCTGATCTCCTGACCGTTGCTTCCATGAGCCTCGGCTGTGGAGCCCAGCAAGAGGACGTCCCGGACAACGTCCATCTGGTCTGCGTTTATCAGGATGAGATCTCGGGGTCCGTTTGGGGGGATGGTGGTCTGCTTTGCTTTGAGCACGGAGTCCATGGCGAAGGCTTCAGTCCGGATCTCCATCAGCAAGTGTCGCAAGCCCTCGCCTTCAGCAAGCAAGGTCGTGTCACCTGCACAACCCAGGTCGTTCACAAGCCTTCTGCCACTCCTGATGCCGCGCTTCTCCTCACATCCGCCAGGTTCTCGGGTTATACACAGAGCATCAGTCGTTGGACAAGTAGTTTAAATCGTGCAACGGGGAAGTCCTCCCTTCATTCACGAGTCGATGTTTTGTTTTTATTTTAGCCTCTGTTCCTGTGGCATGCCACAGCAAGCACCACCACCTAGCATTGTGGACAGCCCCGCAGTCCGTGCAGGATGCCCAGCAGGCCCTTGACTTCCGGGCTAACAAGGGCCTGGTGCTGGTCTCCGCCCTCCACCCTCGGCCCAGCCTCAGACCCCTCCGCCCCCCAGGTAGGCACTACGGCCAACCCGTTCTCCAGATGGGGAAACTAAAGCCGAGACGTGACTCCAGCCAGCCTCGCGACTGCTAGGTGGCAGCTACGTGCTGGGGTGCACCCGAGCTTGCCATGGCCCGGGTCACAGATGTGGCCTGGAAGCCACTGCGGTCAGTCCTGAACGGCCACACGGCAAGGAGGCACCGTCCTGCCCCAAAGGCCAACAGCAGGGTGCTGAGAAGCCCGTGTGGAGCCCGGCACCGCCTCCTGCAGGGCACTGTACTCTCGGCCCCTAACGAGCTGCATGGCCTTGGGCAAGTCTGTCGACCAACTCTCCTGTGCCTGTCCCATCTCCTGGGCTTGTCGTGAGGCTGAAGTAAAGGGACACACATCGGGTTCAGGACAGTGCCTGGCGGACCTCTGCCGTCCCCCGGTGCTGTTCCCTGTCAATGCTATGAAAGGCCCCTGGTGGCTTAGGATAAGGTCAGCCGTTCAAAACCACCAGTGGGTCCTCAGGTCAAAGAAGAGGCTTTCCGCTCCCATCGACTGACAGCCACAGGGGCAGTTCTCCCCTGGCCTAGAGCGGCACGGCTAAGATTTGGCATTGAACCAATAGCAGGGAGGCTTTGGGGGTGCTGTGGGTTACGAGTTGGGTTGCTCACGGCCAGGTTGGTGGTTCAAACCCACTGGCCACTCCTGGGGAGAAAGATGAGGCCGTTGGCTCCTGTAAAGAGTTACATTCTCGGAAACGTCCCCATCCCCCAATGGGAGATTGCTGTGTGTCAGAAACAGCTCAGTGGCAGTGAGTTTGAGCCACTGCTAAAGTAGCCCTGGTGACACGGTTGGTTAAGCACCGCTCTGCTCACAGCCCGGTTGGTGGTTTGAACCTACCTGCCCTTCCTCGGGAGTGAAAGGAGGCTGCTTGCTCCCACACAGATTTACCGCCCCGGAAACCCTGCAGAGGGAGGGCCACCCTGCACTGCTGTCTGCTGCACGGCAGGAGGCTCTCTTAGGGGTGCTATTTAAGCATCCAGTTCAGCTCTGGCCTTCACCCCTCAAGGTTGTCGGTGGACTAGCAACCCAGCGCAGGGCACCCTGGGAGAGAGGGCTGGCGATCTCTCGGCCTGCAAAGACCGCGGCAGAGACCTCCCGGGGCTGTTCTGCTGCTCGCCCGTGGGGTGAGACTCCAGGGCAGCAGGTCGGGTTTTGTTTGTCTATCTCAGTGTTCTTTTCCTCATGGAGCCCTGGTGGCGGAGTGGTGACACCTTGGGCTGTGAACCATAGGGTCGGCAGTTTGAAACCACCAGCCGATCCAAGGGAGAAAGACAGGGCTTGCTACTCCCGTACGAGTGACAGTCCTGGACACCCACGGGGCCAGTTCTACCCTGTCCTACATGGAGGGTCGCTGGGAGTCCGCATCCACTTGATGGCAGGGAGTCTGGTTTTTGAAAATATTATTTCACTAGCAAGTGAGCAGTGTGGATCTGTCACGCCATCCAGGCTTGGGGACTGTGGTGGAGAGCGGCAGACCTGGGGTATGTCTGCCTGGGTCCCCGTGTCGCTGGGTGAGAAAGGGTGTTTGTTGACTGACTAATGGCAGGGCCCCGAGTGTCCGACAGGCAAAGGGCTCAGAGGCAGGGTAGGGGTCACAGGTTTATTGGGGGCTACACACACACACACACACACACACACACACACACACACACACGATCACAGCACAGTTACTCAGTACACTCGAGGTGGCCTCCGATCACACTGGGGACCCAGAGGGGAGTGGGGAGCAGGCAGCATCCTCCCCAGTGTCCCAGACCCAGCTGGGTCCCTTCCTCCTGGGCAGCTGGGGGAGGGGTGGCTGGGGTGGGCGCCAGGCCTGGCAAGGGGGAGGGAGCGAGAGTGGACGGGGAGGCAGGGGGCGGCCCTCCCCTCACTCCAGCGACTGCAGCATCAGCAGCTGCTTCAGCACCTTGGTCTGGCTGGTCTCTCGGATCTCGCCGGCCAGGAACATCTCGTCCACAACCGTGTAAACCTGCGGGGAAGGGGGCCAAGGGCAGATGAGGAGAGGCACCTCCAGGGAAACAGGGAAGGAAGGGGCTCTGACACTTGAGAATCAAGGCAGGGCCTTTTGTGGGGACATTGGCGAGGCTGCGGGACCACCCTCTTTCCCGCTCACTCCCGCCCCCAGGGCCTACCTTATAGAAGTTGAACACCAAGTCTAGCTCGCAGACATTGTGGAAATACTCGTTTAAGACCTGGGAGAAGACAGTGAGGGTCAGAGATGGACAGGGAGAGAGAGAGAAGCACAGCAGCACTTGTGAACTGGGACAACGCGGTGGCAGAGGCCGAGAAGCAGGAGCACAGAGCAGCCAGAAGACGGGGCCTCACGCTGCTCAGGGTACAGCGTGCCACTCAGCATGGTCATGGTGGAAGGGGGTCCCAGACTGCTGGGTCAACCTACACCCCAAGGAAGCTTTGCAAAAGGAAAAACGGAAACAGCACAGGGGAAGAGATGGGAGCGGGGAAAGGCAGGCAGACGGAGGGGGAACGCATGGCGGTAAAAAGACAGATCAAGAACTATAAGAAGGACTACATGAAACTTGGGAATAAGTATGCAGGGATTGGGCATAGACTCTCATCTTAAGTGTGTGTGTAAGGAGATGAGGGACAGACGGATATTCCACGTACAGACGAGGGGAACAGCAATGGGGCTAGATCAATACAGTGGCAAAGCACAGTGCCTTTGGCCAAACTCTGAGAAACAGAAGCAGTGAAGACAAACAGTGGGAGGGAGGGGTGGGGAGAGAGAGGCACAGGGGAGAAGGATGGGTGGGTGAACGGAGGAGCACAGTAAAGTCAACTGTGGCTGGAGCCCAGGTGAACCGCCAAGGAGAGACAGGAGCAAAAGCAGAACAGTGGTGGGGTGGGGAGCGTGGGGATGGGGGAGCGCGGAAAGACCATGCAGCCCAGGGAGGGCACCACCCCACCCCCCGCCCCCACACACCTCCACGAAGTTGTGGATGGCCTCCAGGTAGGCCAGGTTGTTGTCATTGACGTCCACACAAATGCAGAAGTAGAGGCCGGCGTAGCGTCGGTAGATGATCTTAAAGTTCCGGAACTGGGGGATGGAGAGACTGTTGGCCCCGCGACCCGGCAGGTGGGACGCCGAGGGGCCGGCATCTCACACGTGGTCCCTGCCCGGCCTGAACCACTCACGGTGCTGGGACACCGATTCCCCCGCCTCCCAGGCCCCCAGCCAGTGGGGAGACAGATTCATCTCTAGACAGGGAAGACCAGGGCCGGCGGGGCTGGGATGGTGGAGCCCAAGGGGAACCAGGGAGGGCTTCCTGGAGGAGGGGCTGTCTGAGGTGAACCCTGGATGAGCAGGTGCTGACGGGCAGAGGGAACAGCTTGGCTGATGGCCACAACGCGTTCAGTGTCCCTGTCCCTCTCTCTGATGGCTCTGGATGGGATCCCGTCATCCTGAGCCCCAGTCCAAGCAGAGATCACCCGAGAAGCCGAGGCAGTCCTGGGCCCTGTCCTCACCAAACTGTACACATTTATAAATAGGACACAGTCACATGGGCTCCTAACTCAGGAACAAACACCCACGCAGACTCTTTAACTCCATGTGCGAGTGAGGTGATAGGAGACGGATAAAGACTAGATAAATATAGCTGCAGAGCACGGTGAATCTGACCAAAATGTGCCAATCCCTGTTTTCCAGGCCCTGGAGAGAACGCTGGGGGCATCGTGGGGTGTGCCTTGGGCTGCTAGTCCCAAGGCCAGCAGTTTGAAACCGCCAGCCGCTCCGAGGGAGGAAGAGGAGGCTTGCTACAGTCTGGGAACCCCACAGGGGCAGTTCCCCCTGGTCCTACAAGGTCATGATGAGCCGGAGAGGAACTGATGGCAGTGAGTTTGGTTTGGGGGGTGGCGGGTGCGGATAAAGTTGTAACTGGCGGTGCACATGCTTCAGCCACTCAATGGCGAACTGGAAAGTCGGTAGTTCGAGTCCACCTGGAAGTGCTTCGGGAGAAAATCCTGACTACTTACTTTTTAAAAAAGAGAGAGTGAAAGAGAGGAACGCCCACTGAAGACCACCCTGGAGGGCAGTTCGTGTGACTCACTGGGAGTCAGCCTCCTCTGGCCGTGGGGACCCGTTGGCCCAGGATGTGTCTGGTGCCACCTGGTGGCAACTGTGAGAGGCAGCGGTGTGGCTTGCCCTCAAGTGGCTAGTCCACCCGTGGCCACGAGAAAGCCACAGGGGCAGTTCTACCGTCCTCTGGGTCACTATGGGTTGGAATCCACGTGACGGACGGTTTCTACTTAGGGGAGGGTTCCTCAGATGTTACCACAGACAAGCTACAAATCTTCAGCCACCCTAGGTATGGACAGGGCAGGCGCCAGGCAGGAAGGGGACCCGGGGCGATGGAGGTTGGAGGGACAAGTGGGAGGCATGAGGACTTCTCAGGGAGGGTCCCCAGCAGGGGAGGGGGTCTCACCGTGTGGAAGGGGTGTGGGGAGAATCAGGAAGCACACAGAACAAGTGCAGGGGCATCAAGGTGTGGGCCAGGAATACCCAAGAGATGGTGGGGGCCAGAGGAACCCGCCAGTCTTGGAAAGAGAACAGCCGGGCTGCTCCTTAGAAGTGTGGGGGTGGGGTGGGGGTGAGCCTCGGTCTCACTCCTTGGGGCGTGTTATCAGGC